ATTATGTTCATTTTATTGAGCAAGTGTCATTTTATTCATAGAATGCATGAGTTGTATATCAATAACAGCTAAGTGCTTTTACAGTAGTCATTATTGATCGAGCAATGGATACAATGATTTAATAATACATATTAGAAGAATTCGGTTTTTCGTTGTAATAAAAACCAATTAAATTAATATGCATATTCTCTCAAACGACATAATGATTTATTATTCATATGTATATCACAAGCTGATTATGCTTTAAAGCATTTATCGTATCAATCAAAATTAAAACCAGCTCAATGAGAAAGACAGACAGCAGATGAATATATGGAAAGAACTGATTAAGTGATATGTATCCATTTTGATAGATATAATTTGTGTTATTTTAGGTATTCGACGATTTGTTGCTTTTAGTCCAACAAATAAACCTTTGTCCATTTCACTGTCAGTAGACAAAGTTGATTTTCGATATATAAGTATGTTTGGTGTTTAGTTATTCATGTATAATATATATTTATTAATCTATTACCTTTCAATGTTGTTGTTGAAACATGTAATGAACAAGCATATGGTTTAATTGGCGAATATGTTAATTTATTATTAACTAAAACTATATGTGATATAGCTAATGTAAAAAGCAGCTATAGTAATTGAATCAAAAACTTTATTTGAAACAAATATTGAATTAAGTAGATCAATTCTTGTAAGAAAAATAGATTTATGGAATCAAGAAGACTTTATTTCGATATGGTATTTGTGAATGCTTTCTAATTCCACTTTTTTCTCAATACGTCATAATCTTTATTTTGTTTAAACGTAAGGGCAAAGTTCAGACAAAGGCAGGTCACATGGGAATCACCCGGCATGATATCCATCGTTTGAAATTTTATTGGACCCTATAAGAATGTCTTGTAGAGATTAGCAAAAGTCTAGAAGAGTTTATATTTATGGATTTGTTAAGTCTATTTAGAATCATTTTACTGATAAGTATATTCTGAAAAACTAAAATATAGAATTTCGACAGGAAACTTAATAGATATGCATCCTTGTAGACTTTTACTAGTCTCACACAGGCATCCTTGTAGTCCCAATATAAAACCAAATTGTAAGTATTAGTTCAGGTGATTCTCATTTACGTTTATGAATATACATTATTGAATTTTTGTTTTAAACAAACTTTTCTTTCATTGACGATTTGATTAGAGTTCTGTGTAAAATTGATTTGACAGATATAGCAATCGTGAAATTTCTACTGAAAAGACTATAGAATGAATAGTCAATTGATATAGTTTTCAGTTAGAAATATCTTAGTGTAGGAAAATTTATTCGAGACACTCTTCCGTGTATAAATCATACATTTATGGTACAAATGTGAATATCAATAATTTGAGAGAAAATGGATTTGCCTCTTCCACAAATTGCTTTATTCTGCTACCAAAGCATTAGAATGCTCTGGATATATGAATAACATATAGTTAATGACTTCTTTCTAGTTTATTGATAATAAAAAAAGATGTTTGGTGTTACAGTAAGAAAATATGCAAAAAAGAAACAAAAATGTATCTAGTATAATTAGTGACATGTAGTCATAAAACATCAAAAATATAAAAGAAGTCGGAAAAAAAAGAATTTCAAGATTTACAAATAAAGATTCACACATTCTTGATTATGAAAATAATTTGTCAGTCATTAAGTAAATTAATCGGAAAATAATTATGTTTTCATGAGTATTTTTATGTTAAAAGTTAAAAGAATCTGTAAGACATGACTATTAAGAAGAATTGGAAAATATAATATTCTATTTGGGATCATATCTTATTTTTTGTTCATTAAACATTATAAATCATTGATTAGAAGAAATTTTCCTGACATCTTTTCGTTTTTGTCAGAAAAATAAAATCACATTCAATGATACAAAAAAATAAATAAACCTATTAGTAAAATTAATCATGGTTAAAGATATCAGGTTCGAGTTTAAAAAAGATATTTTTTATGAAGTTTTTTTTTTTTTAATTTTTATCTATTTTTTTAGAAATTTTTAAAAGAATATAAAATCTTGATTAAGAATACATTAAAATCTTGTATAAAATTGATACGTAAAATTATAAAACACAAAAAAATGTTTTTCCATAAAGATTCAACTTTAATTTATAAGTATAAACCTTTTAAAATGATGACAATTTTTATTTCTTAGCAATCTTAAGCTATAAATCAAAGAAAGAATATCATAATCAAAGATGGAATTCGAAAGATAAATTACCAAAACCTTCTATGTCACTAATAAATATTTCATTTTAACTAATTTCAAACTTTTATCAGGTTTTTGTGTTTGTGCTATTAGAAATTATAGCTGGGCCTCTATGGAAAAACATTTTCTCCATTAATAATTAATTAATTAAAAGCATAACGAGCCGTCCAACCCTATATCTGGATGCAGATTTCTATTTTAGATATGGGATCGATTCATGTTTTTTTGCAACTGAATCGATTCCACATCTGATCTATTCAGTATAAGCAGAACTTACCTAGCTTCAGTCTTTAACTATGCCAACTGTACTATGACTAAGGTACATCTACATAACAGTAAATAGATTAAAAATTAGTAATTGTTAATGAATTTTCGACAGAAAAGTGGGTTTTATTTTTAAAAATATTATTGATTAGGAAAATAGATGTGCACCAAATCTAAAATGTGGTTCGATGTAACAAGGAATTGCAGAAGTAGTGTTACCGTTCTCTCTCAGCAATGATGTTTATTGATTGATTTCATATTTATTTCAGACAGAATAAAAGGGAAGATGAAGATATATGCCCAAGAATCAAGAGAGAGAAAGCGAAAATTTTGTATTTCAAGGATACGTCCAAAATATTCTCCAGAAAATCTTAGCTATTTCAAGTCTATTATTAATGTATATCACTAGCATATTGCTTTGAGTTCATTTTATATAAGTCTGTATGGTAATAAAGTTCAAACACTTCATCGTCCTTCAAAATTTAAGTATCGATGAAATACCGAATTTTCGCTTTTTCCTCTTGTCGAAAGTGATATTATAATTGGCACGTTAGGACACTATCCAACTAGCTGATAAAAGTAACGCGTATATAGCTAATTGCTTAAACACTTTTTGAGATCCGTGTATAATTACGGAAGTATAATCCGATTCGGTTTTAAATTCAGATTTGAATATTTGTGCACATTGTTGACTTTTTTTTTCGGAATATTCATATCCCTTCACTTTTTTTGGATCATTTTGTGAAACACAATCTAAAAGAAGCGTAGAATTATATCGGAGGAGTAAGAAAACAGAAGGTTTAGAATGGTGCTGCAAAATTGATAGAATAAAAAACCTCTTCCTATAGTTATCAAGAGCAGATACATAGTGTGTAGAGGTCTGCGGGACAAACTTTCTCGTGTCCCGAATCCCGTTTGTCCCGTCCCGAAAATTTTTGAATTGTCCCGATCCCGTTTGTCCCGTCCCGAAAATTTTTCGGGACAGTCCCGATTGTCCCGCGGGACAGGACAAACGGGATTTTTCGGGTTTCGGAACTGTCCCGCAGTACTCTATTTCATAGACTTATATTTAATTGAGCAATAAAATAATTTAAATGAGCAATAATTAAATTTAGCAATAATAATACTGAATGAGCAATAATAATACTGAACGAGCAATAATTTATTTAAATTGAAGGTAAACTTTATATAAGATAAATTTTATATGAAAAGGGTGTGAGATCTCAATCTCATCGTATGTATATATGTATCAGTCTATGTATATCTCCTATATCTGCATCCATATAAGAAACGTAACGCTATATATAGGGCGATGGCAAGTGCTGGAAAATCCATAAGATAGAAAATCTCATAGATGATGAACAACGAAAGAAAAATCCATGGAACAGCATGAAAGCAAGAAGAACAGAAAGAAAGGAAAAGTCCATCAGATATATATGAGAGGAAAGGAAAATGCCGATCATTCCTTAAAATTATATTTGCAAGCACATCATTGGTATATCCATCAGGTTAAAATATTGTAAACCTCCACCACAGACAAAAAATGTGGAAATAGATACAAAAAGAAAAAGACACAGACCATCTAAAGTAAAAAAAAAGCTTTATTGACATAATAATGTACTCCGTTTTCATTTTTATTTTTTTTATTTTCAATTGTAACTGACAAGAATGTAGTTTCTCTTTTTTTTATTCCTAAAATATGAAATGACTACTGCTATTTAATGAATTAACTATTGTACGTTTAGTAGTGTAAAATTGCTCAAATAAATTTTTTTTATTGGTTGAAAATTATTGCTAGACTATATTTCAATTATTGCTCATTTCAATATTTTTATTGCTCAAATAAATACTAGCTTATTTCATATACGGATAAAACATTCGGGACATAGATTTTTTTTATATTGTTCCGATCCCGTTTGTCCCGTCCCGAAAATTTTTCGGGACAATCCCGATTGTCCCGCGGGACGGGACAAACGGGATTTTTCGGGATTCGGGACTGTCCCGCAGTACTCTAATAGTGTGTCATATTTTAATCCTTCAGATATTATGCTAACAACTTTGTTTTACTGTATGTAGATTTACTATAGTCAATCATGAAATTCCTTCGTTTGGCTCACTTGTATTTTCTTATTTTTTTTTATTGGCTACAAATAGTTGCATACAAGATCAAATCTAAAGGTTTAGGTTTGCGATCAGTGTATATATATGAAAAATTACACAATTTATATAGTTATATCATCCTAGTATTTTACTGCAATTTGAGTGGGTGTGGATGTGAGTGTGGGTCTGGGTCTGGGTATGTTTACTCCGGGTAGACATCCCAAATAATTCTAAAGTTCTCTTTTCTCGGTTAAATACTATAAAGACTGACAAATTATTTTTTTACAAAAACAAAAAAAGACATAAATATTATTTTAAACAACCAAGAGAGTCCTACTCATCTTATTATTAATTGCTTATTGATTTTCTGACACATTGCATGAAATCAAAGTGCATCACAATGTTAACTTGCATTCATAAAATCTTCACTAATTGTGTCGATGTGCTTTTCATCATTAGGTGATTCACCTGCATGTGAAATCGACGACAATACTAAGTAAAAAAAAAAAGAAGCAAAAATCAAAACATTTTTTTCCATAAAAGATATATTACCTGGTCTTTCACTTAAAAAGTTAATATTGGCTTCAATGAACATAGTATTATCTCTTACATAAAGGTTTTTATTTTGTTCGAATTCGACGAGAGAAAGAAATTCTTTTTTACCATAACCATCATTCATATTGTTAACAGGACGGTGAAAACAGGTTGATCTTATATCAGGCCAAAACGCAACAGTTATATTACGTTGATTATTATTATTTAATGTTGATTGATCAATTAAACAAAAGGATACTTCATAAGAAAATGGCCAGTGAAGAATAGCATCGTAATCACTTCGCATGATGACCAAAAATAAAGATATGTGTGTGTTACGAGTATCGCTATCACCATTTAAATACAATCTTAGGCACATTTTATAGCCTGTTGGTGATGTATAAAATGGAGGTGAATAAATTGATGTTTGTCGTTCAGATTCTGCATCAACTATTTAAAAAGAAACAAATAATCACGATAAATAAAAAATTAAAAAAAAAAAAACACTTCAATTTTGTTGTCCTAACCAATCGAATTAAATTGAGTTTTATTTGGAAGACAAATTTCTATGTATATTTAAAGTCTGCTCTTTTAAAAGGTCTAATTTTGTCATTATGAAAGCAAGCAAATAAACTGTAAGTGAGTAAAACATTTTCTAATACTTGGGATTTGAGCAGTCATAGTAAAGGCACAGTTAGATATACGTGTTTTCAATATTTTAAATAATTCTCACTATGGATGTCTAGTAGATATACATGGTTTATAGATATTAATAGTGGTGACTAGCAATATATCAATATACCATATCCGATCGTACAGTATTACGTCTCAGACAAATAATCTCAAATGATGAGTCGGTGGATGTCGATCTTCAAGGCTCATTAAAATATAGATTAGCATGCAGTGAAGTATGTCTAGTTTATAAGTGAATACGTGCAGCGATTGATACCAATAAATTATGAGTTATAATTAATAAGATAGACAATATTAGATTACAGTGAGCCCATATCATCAAAGAAAAGACACAGCATCAACTAAATAAAAAGGATAACATACATCTATACAAGAATTAAAGATAAGTGTGTTAAAGCTATTTTCCAACATATTGTAGATCAATAAAGAAAAGTTGCTATAAGTCAAAAGCATTTCAAATTATAAGGTGCATCAATATAAAAAGTTAAGAGGAGATACATAAATTTAATATTTTAATTCTATTAGCAGCTGTGATAAAAGTTTTCCTTACTCATTTCGCGATTAATGTCATTACTTTTAATCAGTTGATCAAGGTTTGTAAGAAAATATCTAAAGATATAGTGAATCCTTCGATAGCAATAATACGATATCTTAATTATTTTACATTTTTATCATACAGAAAACTCAATCGATCTAATCTACATCGATCGATGAGCACTCTAGACTAGAAAATAGGTAACCGAGAGTGATTTAGTAAGCATAATTAGTGAATACCTATTTTCTCTTCAACATTGTTTATTTTCCATATGTATCGGCCACAATGCGAGGTATGCAATGCATCATCGAAATTTCGTTGTATTGACCAAAGTTCTTGACATATAAAATCATAATTCATGTTGAGACCTTGTGCAAGAGCAGCGCTTGTTTCATAGGATGCTTGAAGAGAACAGTAATTATGAGCAAGCGTTTGAAGTAATGTGTGAATATGACGAATACTATTATGAATTTGCTGTTGGTCATTAATTACCGTATTTAAACGATTCAATAGACTATATATCATTGCTTGTATTTGACCAAGCCGAATACGATGTTGATCATTAATCGTACTAACTACATAAGTGGATGAAATTTGTTCAATGTTCTTAATAGAATAATCATATGTCGGCATAATAGAAAGTAGTTTTGGTTCTGGTGAATGACAACTATTAGTATTTGATCGTTTAGCACCAATACGTTGTTCTATTGATGATGCAACACTATTTATTACTTCACATTCAATCGGTCTCAACCGATTAATAGCATGACCAACCATTATTGTTTCTACTAATTGTGTTTCTACATTTCGTTCATGAATAAAACGAATTTTTGGACATTTTGTTTGATAAACACCTTTACCTTCTTCGAGATCATAATTATTATCATAATACGCATAAATGATTTCGATTTGTGGGAAATCATGTATTCGATCATTAATTAATTTTTTAAGAGCATCACCAGAAACCACCAACACTAATTTGTTTATTTTTGTTATATGATGGCACACATGATTAATCAATGCCGCTATATGTTCGAAAAATATAGCGGGTGAAGACTTGATATTTGGTGGAATGGGTTTAGACCATAGTACGAAAATTTCGGTTGAGTTGGTATTAGTACTCACGGCAGTAGCCATGAAAACCGATCTAACAAATAAAAATAATATAAAACACAAAACAAAAAAAAAAGACACTTACTGAAGTTCAAAGTAACACAACTTTGAGAAATATAAAATAGAAAAATGTAATAAAAATAGCTTAGTATCACTATCAGATGTACAATCTAGAATAAGAATGATTCACCATTACATAATAACAAAAAAGTCACATGCCAACATATTTATATATATATATAAAATTTGAATAAGAGTTTATTTATATGATAAACATGAAGCCTTACAATTAAAAAAAAATATTGAAAAAACATGCTCGCATAAAAAATTGTTACACATAATTTATGAAAAGCAAAATTAATTCATAGTCTTTTTATTTTACTAATCGCTTTAGTAGTTTAACTAACAAACAGTACAATAAGTGAGAAATTTTCGGACAAGTGCTTTCTATGTGTATCTTATGAGAAATTCTTCCTAAGCTTACTGCAAAATATTTATTGCTCTCAGTTAAAACTATCCAGAGTTAAACCCTTTAACTCACACCATTTTCATTCGCACACCTCTGATTCGAACTCGTGGACAAAAATTTTTTTCAACACGGATTCCGTGTAAACAACTTTTGTCAACTCTTTTCGACAACGCTCCTGTGAAAAAAAATGTTTTTTTTTCTATTCGAACTCCCGAGTAACTTATTTTGACTCTGCGTGTGAGAAACCTTCTTTTCACTTCAATTCCGAGATAACTCGTTTTAACTCCGACTTCGACAAAACTCCTTTTGACTCTGTCTTCGAGATAATCCTTCTCGACACTGATCCCGTGGAAATAATGTTTTTTGACTCGGACTCAGGGATAAGAGTCTTCAGCATTAGTTTCGAAAAAAAATTTTTTTGCGACTGATACTCCGAGATAATTCTTTTCGACACTGATTTCTCAAAAATAATTTTCTTTTGATTCTAACTCCTGAGTGACCCATTTTGACTTTGACTTCGACAATAGGATAAGAATGTTCGTCGTGAATGTCGCAAAAACAAGTTTTTCAACTCTGGCTACACCTCTGTCATCATTTACCATTTGATTCTGACTTTGAAAAACTTCAAAAATTAGTTTAACTTGCATGTCAATACCATCTTACGTTAGTTTTTAATGAGAACGTTTTTCGGATGGTTTTCTTGAAAGTTATGAATCTATGATGCAGTGTAATTATATTCATTACTTAACATATGAAGAAAAAAATGATGGCTATGTAAAAATAACAATATCTGTCAATTTTATTGGTGTAACTCCAGTATTGAGTCTGAAAATAATTCTTCATGATCACTTCGACTCTAACTCTGTCTTAGTGGATTTCGAAGTGCGACGCTAGGATCTATTCTCAACTATGCTTTCACGGATACTGAAGTTCCTCAAAGTCTTGTTTAAGTTTTCCAAGTTTAGAAATTGAGAAATTCAAAAAATTTTCAATTTGAATAAATTTAAGCTTCAGAGAATTTAAGTTTAAATTGAATACTTTGATTACTTGGTTCCAATCATTATTAACTGAACTATCTAACTAATATATATATGTATATATCTATGCTGATTAGGATTTACGTTTCCTTAACACATATCGATTCGCGACCTTCAATATGTTGAAGGTCAACAATTAGAATCTGAGTGGTTTATTGAATCAAAAAATTTTCAATATATGTTCAAGCTTCACATACTAGAACTTACAACTATCTGAACTCCGTTGACCAAACAGTTAACCACCTCAACTAACATCCGCCCTTTGTGCTCATACAGGATTTGCATATAGATCTCAATGAGACTATTAATTTACTAGATTTTCAAGAGTCATTAGATCTATCTTTGAAGAAAACTTCAGGTTGAAATATCGCTACATAATTATTCGGTAAATACCTAAAAAATGAGTCGAACATTTAATAACACGATCATAATTCGGCTCCAGAAGTTCATGTCGACGAACCATTTTAATCTTCTACTAGTCTTATTGAGATCTTCTTGAGGTCCAATATAAGCTCAACCGATGGATGTCAATTGAAGTAGTTCCCTCGCTAGTAAACTCATGAGATAACTACCGAAAACTACCAGCGGTATAGCAGTTGTTGTTTTTGAAAGTCTTTTAGAACGACAGAATTGTGTTATTTTGTGATGTACTCGGATAAAAGTGATACATCTGAGCAGCCTGTACTAGCTACAGAGCACAAATTGATCCCGATTATGAGATAAATTTTATTAGTAAAGTATATTCTCAAACTGTTTTAGTCTTAATTAATTTGAATTCTTTCTAATATATGATTCTAATTGGGTTAGAAGATACTCTCTGCAATCGTTTATTGTTAAAACCAAAATTCATACACATTACCGCCGATTATTAGGAATAGCACGGTATACCGATGGTTGTCCGAACAAACGTGCTATATAGAAGGACAGATTATCTAGTGTTAGTCGAGTTCTATACTTAGCGGATATGCCGAGTAAAGAGACGGACGAAAATTATTTCTTTTCCTGTTGTCGAAAACCTTTGTGACTTTCTCAACAAAGTTGAACAAGTTACTTGTGGTAAGTTATCGTTACAAAGAGTTTCTTTTTGTCTTCTTCCAGCTTTGTTTCATTCAAAAAACTCTCTAAATTACTTTAAGTCAGTACTGTTGTCAGTAAAATAAAAATTACGAAAACAAAAAAAAAATCCCAATCAAATTCTAACAAACTATGGTATTCTTATTATCAAAAACACTAAGTGCAAGGGATTTCTGAGTATATGCTAATCAAATCATGTCAAAAGAAATGGCTAATATTTTCAAACTAGGGAAAACAATTATTAGACATCTCATACAGCTTATTCTATATATAAACAATTATGCAATCATACTTCATGCATATTCTAAATTTTCTTCATCAACGCACATAATTTAAGTGCTCGTGCATAGTTCCTTTGAGCTTCTATTTCATTGTTGTCGTCTTCTCTTTGTCGATCTCCTATTTCTTCGGACAAATGTGTCAGATCAACCACTAATTTTATCAAAAGACGAGTATCATCATCAAAAATCCCATCGATCTTTGCATAAGATCTTGAAAATCGTTGTATTGTTATTAAATCAGTTGTTCTACAACGCATCAGAATCGAACGAATACCAACATACGCCTGAACCCGAGCAATAATTTCTTGAATTTGAATGACTGGTTGAAGAATGAGAGAAGCAATTGTTAACGATGATGAATTCAAATCCAACCATTGCCACAAATGTTCTTCTACCGAAAAAAGTATCAAAGTAATATCCTCAACTGTTAAATATGCAATCAATGCAATTCTTAAAGGTGAATATTGTGGACCATAGAAAATAACAACAGGAGCATTGGAACGGACTAAAAATAAGTAAGATCTATTTACATATTACAACGAATGATCGAAAAGTTTTGAAATAAGATGTTTTTTTTAATTTTTAACCCATTAAAAAGTATTTCCATAGAGTCAAAAGCTATAAGTGAAGATGCTCTTTTCGAATATGAACTTAGAAATCTTATTGTCTCACTTTTGGTTTGAAAATAATCATTAGTAAACTTTAAGACGTCCAAAAAAAAATATTTTGCATAAAAAATTTTAGTATTTTCAGTTGTAAGATTCGAAATCAGATTTGTCTTTCGATAAGGCATCGTAATTTTCATTTGTCGTAAATACTCATTTTTGAAAAGAATCATTGAAGAAAAGACTTATAGCTTCATTTGGATAAAAGCTACTAGTCAGTTCAATATCACATTTTGTAGAGAGAATGTTCGCCCAAAAAATGATTGACTCGCGAACTAGTTTTAGCATGTTTCGTAGGGATCCACACGGTAAACAAGCATCTATTAGCTAACTATCAAAAATAATTTTCAGTTCTTTCAAAAAGTCTCTCACTATGCTTGAACAAAAAACAACGGCACAACATTTCTAAGCAAGGGGAAAAAGCGGATTGTCGGATCCCGGGATTGTACGGATTGCCATGGGATTGTACGGATTGTATGGATCGCCATGGGATCGTACGGATACGAATGTTCCGCTGACTATACCTATAGGTCTTCATGCACTATTATTTGGAGGTACCCTTGAGTCCTCATATGCTATTATTTAGAGGTACCCTTAGGCCCTCATGGACTATTATTTGGAGGTACCCTTAGATCCTCATGAGTTATTATTTGGAGGTACCCTTAGGTCCTCATCGGCCATTATTTGGAGGTACCCTTAGGTCCTCATATGCTACTATTTAGAGATACCCTTAGGCCCTCATGAGCTACTATTTGGAGGTACCCTTAGGTCCTCATGGGCTACTTTTTAGAGATACCCTTGGGTCCTCATATGCTATTGTTTATAGGTATCCTTGGATCCTCATGTCATATTATTTAGAAGTAATCTTGCGCCCTCATATGCCATTGTACGACTGTACGCTGCGGTTCTTATGTCTTTTAAAATTCCCCACAGAATATAAGTCCGCCGTATAATATGTAGAAGCCCATATGGAAGAGAAGCCCAGTCACAAGGTTATCGCTTTCCAAACACATTAGAAGTCCATCTGTCCCAAATGAGCACAGAACAAATACTTTCGGAAATTGATAAGTGAACTCATTGCTTCTCAATATTTAAGTATAGACCACTTATATGTCTCAATTGGTTTGCTTTGTATACTTTTTCTATCAACAGAAAAATCACAAAAATTAATGCCTTTCAAGTGTTGGAAAATATATACCGATTCGTATTAATACAGCATAGTTGTCTTAGAAGTATTGAAAAGGTTTTATGTATGGAACAACACCGTTCTCTTAGGTCTTTTCTTGAGAGGAAATTATGTACAGCTCAGAAACCAAATGATGCAAATTTATACTCATTTTTGCGGCGATATGCATAAACCTTTCACGAAAAAATAAAGTTTCTTCAGAAACTGAAGTATAATTGTTGCCAATTATGCACGAGTTGATCACACTTGAATAATAATGCCAGTGTGGAATCCTACGATACGAACGATTATAATACTCGGGAGTCTGACCTA